GTGGGACTCTCTGGGCGTGATGCTCTGCGGGGTTCTTTGGGTTGTTCATTCCAGAGATACGCCGCAGGAATCTCTGGGGACGTCTCTGAGGTGAAGGCTCCTAAATACAGGATCCTCGGCGTGATTCGGAGACCCGACCCACGTTGAAGAAGAATACAGATTTGGCTTCGGGGGTTTAGAGCTTAGGGGTTGGGCCCTTCGTTCCAGCCCTAAACCCTAAACCCTACACCCTAAACCCTAAATCCTAAATCCTAAACCCTAAGCCCGAAACCTGAAACCCGAAACCCTAAACTCTGAACCCTAACAACAGTTGCCGAAGGCGTCCTATTCTAAGAAACACCCCTCGCCCGAGCCCTGAAATCGCCGGTGTCTGGGGCTAAGAGCCTCGGATGGCGCTTTTGGTTTAGGGTTTAGGGTTTAGGGTCTAGGGTTTGGGGTTTAGGGTTTAGGGTTTAGGGTTTAGGGTTTAGGGTTTAGGGTTTAGGGTTTAGGGTTTAAGGGTTCAGGGATATTCTTGAAAATTGACCCTTCTTAAGCCGAATAAGGGTACATTTAAACACATCCCAAGGGCCTGGGTAGGTTGTGAAGTGCATAGCATTTAGGAGCCTTCACGGGCCCTTAAAGGGGCCCTTATATACCCCTTGTATACCCTATAGAACCCAAGGGTGCTTGTAGCTTTTTCGGGCTTCAGGACTTTGGGGTTTAGGGCCTCTAGGGCTTATCGTTCAGAGGGTCTCAACCCCCCCACCCCCAAACCATGCTCCGGCTTCAAAAAAAGCGGAAGATGAAGCGGCGCGAGCAACCCCAAAACCCTGAAATGAAAGACCCCAAACTCTAAAACTCGAGAACCCTAAAGCCCACAATTACGACCCAAAAATAGGGGGGGGTACCCCCCGTTTATACCCCAAATAGAACAAGAACCCCCTTAAAAAGGGGGTAACCCCCCATGTTCGGACGCCCCCGATTGCAAAACCAGGTCCAGGCCACGATCCCCCGGCATTCCTCGTTGTACTTGTCGATACCCATCTTGATCACGTCCTGGTGGCCCTGGAGAGACTCACAACGCTGCGCTCCGGCGCTTGTCTGTTGAGATTCACAAGGGTATGTAGGGCCATTGGGCTATTGGGCTTAGAATAGCTTCACCCTAAGGCTTGGGGGGTTTACGGGCTTCTGATGACCTTCCCCGGAACCAAGGCGGCATAGAAGGGGGGACAGCACCAGCATCGACGATTTTCAGGCGCCTTGACATTCAGCTTCTTGTCGATCTCATACTCGACCGGAAGCCCGTGGCAATCCCAGCCAAACCTCTTGTAAAGCTTCGGTCCAATGGGGGGCCAGAATCGAAAACTGTGGGCCGGTTGAGAGTTGTTTGAGGGCTTGGGCTGTCGGCTGAGGGTTTAGGGTTTCGTGCAAGGATTGGGGGTCCCCAGTTCTTCAGGGCAGTCAGCGAGAAGGACCTTTTTTTGAAAGACTGGTTCGCGCTTCTAGGATGTTGAATCTCAGACTTCAGGAGGTAAGGTTTGGGAGGTGGGGTACTAGCAGGCTTTGGGGGGGGGAATGAATGCTTGGGGGCTTGGGCGGTGCCTTTTCGAGGGCCTAAAGTCTAGACCCTTTCGAGTGCCCTGACTCCGACACCCCTTGACATGCCTAGACCATTCTGCCTGAAACCCTGACTCCGAACTACAACACAGAACGGATCAAAAGGGGACACGTGAAACCCTGACCCTCACTTGCTGGGTTCAGAGGCACCTACGAGCCTCGGGGAAGACCGGGGTGGATCACTGAAGGTTTAGGGTTTAGGGTTTAGGGTTTAGGGTTTAGGGTTTAGGGTTTAGGGTTTAGGGTTTAGGGTTTAGGGTTTAGGGTTTAGGGTTTAGGGTTGATGTAGACCAGCCTACTGGTGTCCACAGCCCAAGTTCCTTTTGCCCCCTCTGGCGGCTCGACTGCTTCGACGAAAGTGAAAGTGGCAGCGAAGCGGGTGGCAGGGTCTCTGGGGCTCTAAGGTTTGTGGTTCGAGCCTTGGCAGTTCCCCCTTATACTAACAGTCCTTAATAGGGACGAAAATAGGGTGTTCTAGCCCAACAAGAGGGACCACTAAAGCCCAAACCCATCGGCTTCAGGTTGTAGGCAGGATGCGGTCTCAGGCTCGATGTCAAGGATTCCGAGGGTTGGGGGAGATGGGGCTGCACCAAACGCTGGGAACGCTAAATGCGAAAACCTCGCACCGCAAAACTTGGAATCAACTAGGAATGAAAGGCTCAAAGGGGGGGGGGTTAGGGCTTAGGCTCGGTCAAGGGTTTTAGAGTCTGCAAAACATTGCAACCGAACAAGGACCGCACACTCTCCAAATGCGTACATCTCGCGGCCCAAACCATGTCTCGCACTTCTTCAAGAAGATCTGTTTAAAATTCAAATGGTAAGCCCTAGACCCCAAGCACCAACTCGCACAACACCCCACAGAAATACAGAAAATGAGTTAGAGAGCATAAGGGGGTCATATTGAAAACTATGTTGACGGCCCTAAGATTGCGCCGTACAGCGTTTGAAAAGCTGCCTCTGCCAGCACCCGGCTTCTCACGTGTGCCTCCTACTCTCCTGCTCTCTCTTCTCAAGCTCCTTCTTCGCGACCTCCGCCCGTTGGACCTCGACTCGACGTCTGGGGGTTTCGGGGTTTGGCGGCATTTGGGGTTTTGGAGATTTTAGAGCTGAGGATTTGAGGGTTTGTGTTGCTTTGAATTCCGGGTCTATCAGGTGAGGCTTCCATGCTGAGGGAGCCCAGTACACTGCCACAGGCGACGCCCATCAAAAACTTTAGACGGGCTGTGCCACCAATGACCCCTAACCCTTCAACCTCGAAGCTCAACATAAAAGGCTGGCCCTGAAAAGAGCCCATCCTAAACCCTCGAGCCTGCAGCCTCACACCCTAAACCTTCAGCTCCCAAACCCTCAAGGCACCATAAGGTGATTACCAGATGCTTTCAGCTCCCAAGTGGCTCATAATGTTGTTTTCTTGTTCGGTGTGTGCTGGCATGCTTTGCATGCCTTCACGACACGAGGAGACCGAATGGAACCTTTGCGAACCCGCGTGGAATCCAAGCTTTTCAATGACAAACGGGTTTTGCCAGCCTCGGTACTCATGCAGGCACAGGCAAACCTGCTTGGCCTAGGGGCCTAGACCCTCAAGATTGTAAAGAACCCTGAGCTGGAAACTTTCATGCGCGTGAAAACCTACTGAAGTCAAAGAGTCTGCCGAAGTGGCCTGCGTCCTACAAGGAGCCTATGCCGAGACTACGCGGATGTCGCATAAGTTTCCTACTGTTTGACGACAGAAGGAGCGCAAAAGGTTTAGGAATTCTCGGACAGCTTGTGCAGAGTGCTCCCCGGCCCCAGCCAAGTGACTTCATACTGTTGCTCGATCAACTCCTTCGGGTACGGATACCTCGAGTCCCAAGATGCTCAACATCACAGACGCTGGATCCTGGATCCCCAAACCCCGAAGACCAAAAGCCTTCCCAAGCTCCAAACATCCCAAAAACATCCCCAAAAGCCCACAACTGTCTTCGTCCAGGCGTCGGAATGTACGGGGCGTCCTTGGGTATCATGCCTTTCTCCCTGCGGTCCAGGGGGAGTTAGGGTTTAGGGTCTATGGGTGAAGGCTTCCAAGGGCTTCCAAGGGTCTTAAGCTCCTAAACCCCGGGCCTGAAGCTCCTCTCGTACTCGTCCCACTCCGCCAGGGCGGATTCAAGCATTCGGTCCACGTTGCAGGCATAGTGGGCCTCGGACTTCGAGGGCTTCGATCTCGGCATTTTTCAAAACATGCCTAAAAGGGTTGAAAACCCTCACAACCCTGCAGCCGAAACCCAAGGCTCCTGTGGGCAGTTCCGAAACCTGCTGGGCCCCCGGCTATCCAGTTCTTGTACCTGCAAGCGTTACGGGTGTTGGGTGTGGGGGTTTAGGGCTTTTTTGGAGTTTATAGGACTTGGGGCTTGGGGCGTTTCAGGGCGGAAGGAGGAGGGGGCAGCAGTAACCAGGCATCTCCATCCTAAGCTCCCCCAACCCTGAACCCCTCCAGACATGTCTTGCGGTTACTGGTTTGTCAAAGGCTGCTTTTTTCTCCAGGGGTTCCGGTCCAAAATCACGGGATTAACTATGAGCCCCCCCCCCTCCGCCCCGGTTCCATCGGGCTCACACTGCGCGAAACGTTTGATGCAGCCGAGCGACACATCCATGTGGGCCCTGGGGCGTGGGGCAGACGCTCAACTGAACCCTATTCCCAAGCCCTGAAAGGTACCTTATTGGGGTTACTTTAAGGGGATCCTACCCTCAACCCTTAACCTACATTGTGCAAAAATCTGAATCCAAACGTCGGAACCCTCCAACCTGTGCTGCACACCAAGGCGAAAGCGGGAGCGATCGGATGCGATCGGGATGCTATGGGAACGGGATTCACATAATGCGTTTGGGAGCCCAGGCTGACGGGGCGTTTCGGGCAAGACCCCTAAACCTACGACTTGCTCAAGAACCACCCAAGCAATAAAAGACAATCATCCGCTATTGCCCTGATAAGGAAGGATATTTTTGTTTTTAGTCACTATATGCTAAGAATACTCTAATTGTTGTTTTTTTGGAGGGGGGTTCTTATGCAATTCGTCGTAACCCTAAAGCCCGTTGCTGGCGAGCAACATCTTCTCTCTCAGCGCCACACTGACCATCGCCCAAGTGAAGGCGCTGCCCACAGAGTGCCTTCAGGGTTCTAGGGTTTGGGGTTTGGGGTTTTTGTGGTTTAGGGCTTGGGGGGTTTCAGGGGTTTAGGATTTTAGGGTTCAGGATTTCGGGGTTTGGGGGTTTAGGGGTTTCGGAGTCTTGGGTTTGGGGTTCTCAAAACTTCGGGTTTAGTCGGGGGTGTCTGGGCGTCAGGGTTCAGGGCTGAAAATGGCTACCCCCCCTAAACCCCTCCACCCTCTTAGGGTGTGCGTCCCGCCTGGCATTGATGAAGTAGGCTGGTGAGTCTGGGTCTGGGTCGCCAGCATAGTGCGTCGGAAGGGTGCTGAGGTGGCCGGCGTCGTCCAGCTCCTGCTGTTCTTTCTGTCTTAAGGCCGTAGGGCTAAGGTCGTTCTTAGTATGCCTGTGATGAATTTTGTCGAGAATCTTGTTTGTTTTTTGCTTGTTCTTTTTCAACCTGTCCCAAACGGGTGTTATGGGGTTTCGGGCTTGGGATTGTGGGGCATCTTGGGTCCAACATGATAAGGGGTTCGGGTTTGGAGAGCGCATCTCCTTCCACTCGTTGGGGCAATCCCAGACGTGCTTCATGAGGCAGACCCAGCTGTAGGCACCAGGGCCGATGGTGGTGGCTGCAAAGTTGGCGGCGTAGATGCCTGAGATCTCGTGACCATCCGCACACCGCGAAGCAACCGAAACCTTTTCAAGCCCTAAGCCCTCAATGCTGCTGCCCAGTACGAAACACTGCCAGGGCTGGTTGAGTCTATGGGGTTGTAGGACAATCAAGGCTTATTGGAATTCGGGCTTAGGCCCTATGATTGACTGGCGCAGAGTAGAGAAGTGACAGCTCATCTCACTCAAAACCCCCTTAACCCCAAGCCCCCAAACAATCCAACCGAGCCACCGTCAGGGTCCGCGTTGGTGAACCGGCGCGGGTCACCGTTGATCCAGTAGCCACGGAGATACTTCGCATGGACCACACGGTCCACCGTGGCGTCGGGCAGCATGCCTCTCGAGCCCCCGAGACTTACTTCCCTTGTCAAGGAAAACTTGTTCTTCTTGCTACTAGTGTGTTTTTGTTACTATTGTTCTTCTTGTCATTCTTAGTGCTGTTTCGATGATGATGATTAGGATTTTGAAGCCCCTGCCCAAAGGTTGAAACGCCTGTACAGGCCTCAGCCTCCACACCTATTCCAACCACGCTCGAATCCCCCAACCCCCAGTGGGTGCCTTCTGACTCGTCGACTTCGGGAATTGTAAGGTTAAGGGTCAGGATGGAGGGTGCTGTTGCATCTTAGGGAAGGTAGAGGCAACAACTTCTCAAGGAGCCGAGCCTGGCGGAGGGACTAGACCCTGACCAGTCGCGACCAAGGCAAAGCCTACTTCTGCAAACCCCTCTTCAGGAAGCCCTTTCGAGCCTATGCACTTGAGGATGACGTCGATATTCTCCAGCTTTCTCCCGCTTTCCAGGTGCACTGTCTTCTCGCTGCAGCGCTTCCTTTGAGTGTTGTTGGGGCGTCGGGTTCTTCGACCGCCCAGGATTCTGAGCAGTTCGGGGTTAGGGCTCTATCTCCGTTGAAGATCAA